GAGAACTCAACCGGCATGGAGAAAGGATGAGGTTTTGGCCTTTGCAGGGTCACCATGGTCTAGTAAAGGACCAAAGGTCAAGGCGGGGCATTTGGCGCCGCTTCGAGATCAAGGAGAAGAAGTAGAAGATAAGCCTGCTAAAGAAATCAAGTTGGATGCAGATACGCCAATTGAGGAACCGGCTAAGAAAGCAGCTAAGGCGGATGCAGGAAGCGCGCCGACCTCACCGACTTCAAGTTTGTTTCCGCCAAAGTTTGCAGGCAAGGTTATAGGAAATGATCAAGAAGATTATCAAGATGAAGACGAAGGTTATCATGAAGATGAACTTTGGGAAGACCCAATCCTAAGGGATGAAGAGTGGGAGGTAGAAGAAGATGATGATCTAGAAGATTCAGAAGATATGCCTCCAAAACTATCGGAGGAAGAGTTGGAAGAGAAAGACCGTGACGCGGCTAAAGACGAGCTGGACAAGCTTAAGAGCTTGGAAGTTGTCAAAGAAGTTAAGAAAAAGGATTGTGATCCAGCAGGAAAGTTCTTGACTTTGACTACAGTGTTCGATTGGAGAAAGCGAGTGGAACAGACGGTGTAGGATTGTTTGCAGAGAATTCCGTGAGGAGCAGCAAGCAATGAGGAAACCTTCAGCCCAACCGCGGGGCATGCAGCAGTGAGAATGTTGTTCGTACTGCATTTGGTCTTTGGATGCGAGCTGACCCTTAGACATCAAGGATGCGTTCCTGCAGGTGAGCCAGAAGGTACCCATGTATGCCGAGGGATCAAAAGGTTGTCAGGCCCGGATGAGGACTGCGTTTGGGAGGTGCAGAAATGCTCACCAGGGCAAAGAGCAGCGGCAGAACAATGGTTTTCGCACTTGTGTGCAGTGCTGGAAAGATTGAGGTTTCAAGCCTTCAAAGCCATTCCCTCAGTGCTAAGGCACAAAGTGAGACCGCTTGTGGTTTCTGTGCATGTGGATGATGACCGATCATGAGTTATCCAAGGACTCAGAAGTCTACCGCTCTATCAAGCTTTGAGTCAGAAGTTCTGGCAGCCAGTGGCACCCAGCGAAGGCGTTCTACCTCAGGAAGCTCATGGCGTTCCTCACCAAGGATGAGGTTGACATGGAGGTACGAAGTGACAGCAGCTCAGGAAGACAGTGGTGTCTTAGAAGCGGAGTCGGAATAGACCTGAGAGTCCTATGGCTACGGCGTGGGGTGAAGAAGCATATGTTCAAGATTAAACACATCCCCACAAAGCTGAACATAGCGGACTTAAACACAAAGAAGACGAGTTTTCAACGGAGGAAGTTTCTACTGTTCCTGATTGGGGCAGTGTTGAGAGAAAGAGGAAGAGAAGTTCCAGTTGGAGTTGAAGAGATGGCAGAACACATGTCATCAGTGGCCCTGGGCCACCAGATCAGGAGACTGAAGCAAGTTGGAAGGACAACAAAGAACAGCAGATTGCTGTTTACTACTTGCTTAATCCAAATGGTTATGGGGTCAAGAGGACAACCAAAAGAGTTCATCAAGGAGACCTACGTGCACATTGAAGCGGCAAGTTTGTGGATGTACGTTCTTACGTTGTTGGTCATGATGATTCTCTTCATGCAGTTTCTCAGCATGTATGGGTTAAGGAGCAGAACCCAGGCGGGGACTTTGCAAGAACCAGAACAAGAACCAGATGGAGGACAGTCGCCATCAGTGTATGGCACTCTTGAAGTGGAGACGGAAAATGAGGAAGAAAATGAAAATGAGGAAGAAAATGAGACTGAGGAAGAAAATGAGAATGAAGAAGAGAATGAGGATGAAGGTGAGAATGAGGAGGAAGTGCCAGCGCAGCTAGAGGTACAACAACAAGAGGAATTGCCCACGCGGGGCAATGTGAACTTTGTCGTGGACAACGAGCCTTAGAGAGATCCAGAACCTGGACCAGTGCCGCAGCAAGCAGCTCAAGTACAACCACCAGCGCCAGTTCAACAGCCTCAGGGAGTTAGGTTGAGAGTGAGACTGGAGTACGCAGTGATCTCAGGAAGAAGGTACCACCCACAAGGATGTGGAAATTTGATGGCAGCAAGAAGAATTGCAGAGGACGCAATGGATGTGCATTGAAGGTTGCGCTACAGACCGTGTCTAGTTTGTTATCCTCCTCAACTACCAGACCCTTAAAGGAGGAAGTGAAGAGAAGGAAAGTTCAAAGACAGGACGATGAAAGGAGAAAGTTTCAAGGAAAGAAGAAACAAAGAAAGTTGAGAAGATGAAGCAGTGAGTTTTTCCGTACAGGTTGAACTCCTACCGCCACACGCTTTCCGTACAGTGCGAGGGACAAGTACACCAAGGGTAGTGCGCAGCCAGAGCCCTTAGAGGAAAGCAAGGGGTGTAAAGATTTTCTAGCATGTGCAAACCCAGTATTTCATGGAAACTTAAAACAGAATTTCATGTGCGTGAGCAGTTGAATCACATGTACCGTGCAGCGCCTCTCAAGGACTTTGAAAAGAGAGCTGAGTTCTTCATTTGGACAGGCGTGGTAGTTCGAGGAGTGTCTCCCGATCTTTCTGCAGACAGTGCGGGACATTCGTTGACGAAGTCTCTGCTGAGTTCCAAAAGCTGCGCCGCAACGCGGCGACAAGTGTGCTGAATGCATCGGCGGATGTCATTGACACCATTGGTGCGCTGACTGCGGAAGATGCCCCGGCAGACCTGGACCCGGCTGTCATAGAATCGATCCTTGGACGATTCAATGACATCGTCGTGGACGCGACCGTCAGTGGAGATCTCTTCACCGCTCGCTGCGCGAGGCGATAGTGAGTGTGAGGGAAGCACCCCCAGGATCGCCGGACTCTAGGCAGCCGGTGGCGATGATGGGGCTGATGCATTCCCGGGGTGAGAGTGATGAAGGACGACGGATCCGTTTAGAGGACCGTAGACCCAATTCCTCGTGGCCCGCCATTCGTGCGTGGCCACAGTTTGTGAGGTCTTTTGGCTTGGGACACAATCGAGAGCAACTCCTGCGTATCACTCTTGAGTCGATTCGCGCCCAAGGTGCTGATGCAGTCGACGA